CCACACCATCTGGCCCCTGGTCCCAGAGCAGCACAGACACTGCTTCCAGCGAGGTCACATGACTTTGCCTGGGGACCCCCACCTGGGAACCTGGGGGGGGGGGCACCTCCCAGGCCTCTCTCCACTTGACCTCCCAGCAGCACCGTCACTGGGACCACTTCCTCCTTCTGTGACACGCATGGCGTCAGCTCTGGTGTCTTCTCTCTTATCTTGAGGGGCCTTCCTCCCTTTCTCCTCCTCTGCTTCCTCCTCACCCACCACATGTCTGGTGCTGGCTCCTTGGCCTCTTTCCCATGCGCTCTCCTGGGCTGTCACATCCACCCACGGCTTCTTACCCTCATGCTGACTCCCTGGCTTTATCTTCAGCTCAAACTCCAGCCAACCTGGCGACTGCACTTTGGTATCTTAGAGACCCCACCAACCCAACGTGCCAAAAACCGTAGTTTCTTTCCCCAAAACGTACCCTCCTCTTGGTGACGGCGCCACCATCCACCCCATTATACAAACCTTCGGTTGCTCTTGACACTTCCCTCTCCCTCACCCCTCGCCACATCCTGACTATTCCGATAACAAAGTTCATCTCCAAACAGTGGGTTCCTCGCCATCCCCCTCGTATCTGCCCCGTCCAAGCTGCCATCTCCCACTGTCACCAGGCTCCTCACTGGTCTCCTCTCACGTATTGCCTCCTCCAAACCATCCCGTATCCTCCCCCCATAGCAAACTTTAACAACCCAAAGGGCCTCATATCACATCTTGCAAAATTCCTTCCAGTACCTTCCCATTGCACTTAGGATATTGTGTGAATGTCTCAGCATGGCCCGCAAGGCCCTGCCGGACCTGCCGTCTGCCCGGCTCATGGTCTCAGTTCCATGCGCCTGACCTTCAAGCCACACTGTCTTCCAGTTCATTTCGTGGCCTGAGTTCCCTCTGGGCTCAGGGCCTGTCGCTCTTCCTGGAAAGCTGCCACCTCTGCCCTTGTTGTGGTCAGGCCCCTCTTGCTCTCTGGGACTCGGCTCAAGGTCAGTTCCTCAGGGACCATCTCTCTGAGGCAGCTAATCTCTTGCATGTGGAGGGCTCTTCATGGCACCTCCTTGTTCAAGGCCTGCAGCCTCTGTCCCGTCCCCCAGCGTGTCACAGAGTCCAGAGCAGAGCCTGAGGCCAAGTGGTGCTCTGGAGATCCTTGAATAGATGAACGCAGCCAGGACGAGGACTGGCTCCCAGTATCTGCTGCTCGGGAACGTTTGCAGGTGGCCCAGAATCCTGGCGACCCAGAGAGAGTTAATAATTTACTTAAAAACATTTATAATTTAATATTCATAAGTCCTAGTTATAATTTATTCTTAGAGATCGGTTTTTCTAAATTAAAACTTTTCTGAAAATAAGTTGAGAAATAAGTTACTGGCCGTTTTGCAATTATATGAGAGTTCTCTCATGGAGGGGGATAGGAGAGACAAGTGGCTTAAAAATCCCAAGCACTGCCCTGTTGCTGGAGGCGAGCCCTGCGGGAAGCAACTTGACAATACACGTTACAGACGTTGAATGTTTGTAGCCTCAGAGCTGGCTAGGGTCTGCCAAATAGCGCTCCTGCTCCTGGCCGAGGGGTAAATGTGTGTGATCCTTTGGGAAAGCAATTCGGTATCTCTAGAGCCATAAAGCTGTATTTCTGGGGCTCTAGATGGTGCCCAACCAGCTTCCTCAAGGAGGTCTTCCCTGGACCCTACCCCCTTCCTCAGACCTGGTAACTACCTTGATTTTTGTAAGATGCACCATGTCTGTGCTCACTTGTTCAGTCTCTGTCTGCCTCCCAGGCGCTGAGCTCCATGAAAGTGGAGACGGGATTTGCTCAATTTGTCTCTGCATCCTTAAGACTAGCACAGCGCGGTGTGCACATTAAGGTAAAGAGACAGTTGTTCATAAAATGAATAGTGAAAATCATCCTCAATAGAAATAGACTTAACCCCAAATAACAGTATTAACAGTTGACCCTCATGGAGCCGTTAATATGAGCCTGACCCTGTTGTACGCGCTTTGTGTGTGACAAAGCTGTCACAGAGTCCTCGAGCTTCCTGCCCTCACAGATGGAAGCTGAGGCCTCGAGAAGTTAACTTATTTGAAGTGAAGATCTACCAGCTAGTAAGTTTTCATCGAAATTTTATTTTTAATAGGCAAAAATTAGACAGAGTCTGATGGTATTTGAATAGAATATCCTGCAGTTGTTAGAATCTAGGTTTTTGGTTTTTGTTTTTTGAGGAAGATTAGCCCTGAGCTAACATCCGTGCCCATCTTCCTCTGCTTTATATGTGAGACGCCTGCCACAGCATGGCTTGACAAGCGTTGCCCTGTCCGCACCCGGGATCCGAACTTGTGAACCCTGGGCCATACCCAGGATCCAAACTGATGAACCCTGGGCCACTGAAGCAGAACATGTGAACTTTGCCGCTGTGCCACTGGGCTGGCCCCTAGGTTTTTGAAAGGCGCATAGTAACAGGAAGATGGGTATAATATAATATTTACTGTCCCCCTCGGTTCCATGGATACTGCTGTGACAATGCCCTCTGCCTCCACGTGGCACCCGTGCTTGGGTTCCAGAGTTACAGCTCTTTCAGTTCATTCCAGGTGTGTCAGGTGGGGTAGAGGAGGCCAGACAGAGAAAGTGACATCGTGGGGATTGGAGTGTTTCAGAGAAGCGGGTGAGCAAGTGCTGAGATGAGAGGGGGCAGGACTCGAGAGAAGTACACTGTGTCTGGGAGGAAGTTATAGGAGATGAGGCCGAACACGGAAGCTGAGGTCAGGTCGAGAGGACCTCCGGGTTCTCCAGAGGCAGCGGTGCCCTGCATGATGGTCGCTGCAGGTGTGGACACAACAATCGGAGGCACCAACGTGGCGTCCAGAGAAACGCCGGGTGTTTGTTTTGGTAGAATTGATGTTTGTACTTTTGCTAGAAAAGTTGGCTAGAGATGTGAGTGAGGACTATACGTGGAACGTGGAAAATTAAAGAATCTAAGATTCCAAGTCTTAAGGTCTAAAGACAATGATTTTTCAGAGCCCGAAAGAAAACCTCTGCCTTTCGCTAATTCTCTCATAAAGCTGCCATTCAGCCCCTCTGAACGGGGTTGTTTGTTTTCCCTTTGAGACGTTTGAGCCAGTGCAGCTCTTTGGTTTAAGGCAGTAGTGAGCTCTGTCTTACTGTGTCTGGAAAATGTTAGTTCAGGCTAAAAGTTCCAGGTGGGGCCACATAAATGTGGGTTCCGTAGCTTGGAGTACCGTCTGTTCTAAGGCCTGCATGACTGATGGCTTAAAAATCTTGGCTGTTTTGTATTTCTTTCATCAAATGCGTTGTCAGGAGCAGGAATTTCACATCTTGAAGATACAAAGGAATTTTACGAAGAAAATAACTCTTTAATATTTCCCTTGCTGGCTACTTCTCTCCTCGCTGCCCATACCAATGAGCTATAGCACGCTGTTCAAGAACTTCAGTTTTTCTCCTCTCACCTTTTGTCATTCATGAAGCACCTATTTGCCTGTGATTAATACCCCTGGCCACCCACTGACTCTCCTGGAGAATTTTGGAAAAAACCCAGATGCCTGGCCTTGCCTAAGACCAATTCGGGAACTCTGGGGCTGGGGCCTGGGCCTCTGTAGTTTTCACAAGTTCCCCTGGTGATTTGAATACAGGGTGATCTATTGCTGTCTTAATAAACTTCCCCCAAACTTAGTCGCTAACAACAAGAGTATTATTTCTCGCAATTCTGTGGCTTCACTAAGTATTTCTTCAGCTGGCCTTGCCCAAGGTTCGCACAGGCAGCTGAATCCATGGGGGCGGCTGGGGCTGAGTTCGGCGAGACACCTGGGCCTCTCTTCCCAATGGTATTTCATCCTGGGATCCTTCAGGGCTGAATCTGCGTGGGTCTTGTGATTGGTTCCAACCACTGGAATGAGGCACAAGTAATGTTGCCTGACTTCCAAGACTAGGCCTTACAAAGCATCGTGGCTTCCTCTTTTGCTCTCTTAGACCACTGCCCAGAGGCCTTCATGCCCTGAAGAAAGTTAACCATTTTTGCTTTCATCACAATAATTAGTTTGCCTGTTTGTAGTGTTTCTGCTACGATTGTGGACAGAAGGGGCCAGGAAGCTAAGTACAAGATTTCTCTCTGACAACACCAACGTTCATTTCAGCCCTTTTTTCTAGTTAGACACTTTAAGTTACATCACATTGGAGAGTCTTCCTAATTTTTCTGTTTTAAAATGTTCCATCAACCTAGAAGTTATGATTTACAAGTAATTATCAAATGCCTATTATAAGTGAGCCCCTATGCTAGGCGTATAACAACATCATTTCAAGTAAACAAGAGAACGCAGACCCTGATGTCATGGTTCTTATATTTTATGGAATGTACCTATATTCCATATCCACATATCCAGAGTCATAGCATGGAATATATCTATATTCTATCAAATGTATCTAGCATCTGTGGAATGTATCTCTATTCCATGGAATGTATCTAGCATCTATGGAATGTATCTATTATATCTACTGACAGCAGAGCACATTAAACAATCAATTGAACAATGTTTACTAAGTAATCCTTACTTAGTAATCCCGAAAGATTCCAAAGGACACATGCTTCTGGGAGACTGCGAGACATACAGGGGCGCTGAACCAGTCTGGGGAGATCAGAGGAGACCTCCTTAAGAAGGGACCTTTGATCTGGGCCTTAAAGGATGAGTTGGTATCAACTAAAAATTTCCCCCCTCTTTTCATTCTCTTTTCTTTTCCAGCCTTCTCATAGCTCTCTCTGTCACCTGAGTTCTAATCATTTTTCACTTACAAGCTGGTAACAAACAGCTCGTACAGAGAGTAGAATAATACTGTTTACATCCTCCTTCAGTCTGAGACGTGAAACTTCCTAAAGGACAAACAACTGTCTTTTCATTCGATCAAAATTAGAGAAAGCTGTCTTTCCCAACTCACCTTTGGCACTCGCTTTCCATATTTTCAGCAACTCAAGCATCCCAACCTCGTCAACCTCATTGAAGTCTTCAGGAGGAAGCGGAAGCTTCACCTGGTGTTCGAGTACTGTGACCGCACCGTTCTCCACGAGTTGGACAGATACCAAAGAGGGTGAGTGAGCCATCCCTTACAAACACGTGAGGGGAGATTAGCAATGACCCTTTTTCAGATTAGACGGGAACAGCCAGTGTTGGGACAGCATACTCTGTGGCTGGGGTTGACAGCAGAGGCATTACCAAAAACGCTGGGAAAGAGATCTTATCTGACTGTTTTCATGAAGAAAGTGGCAGCAGCATTATTGGGTAGAATTTGATTTCTTTAGTGCATTACCTGTGTGTAGAAGCTATCTGAGTATCTAAGAAAGGGAAGGAAGGATGTTAGTTATTCCGTGCCTGACCAGGGGGGCATGAGGACTGAAATTGAGAGGAAGAGGCCACAGACGATAGCTAACAGGAAGATCAAGGCTGAAGCGAACGTGGTGCTCCATTCTGAGCAATCCGCTGTGCGGTCGGCTGCGTGGGTCGGGACTTCTTTCATTACAAGTGACAAAAACCCACCTGAAGCAAGCGTGAAGAAGGAGCATGTTGGTGGCTGTCACCGGCAAGGGCCTGGGATGACTTCAGGCTCCGCTGAGGTCCTCGCATGTCTCCCTCTAGAGTATGCAAGCCGCTGTGTGCGCTAAAAGGAGGCTTGGTGAGCAGACAGAGCCTTTGGTTGAAAGAAAGCGGGGGTCCCTTCCTCTGGTTGAGGGTAAGCAGAGTGCTGGCAGGATTTGGGCTCCCACCCCCTCCCTAGCAGGGGAGAGGCCTAGGTGGTGGTGGTTCTCTCTCTCTCAACTCTTCTTCTCTCTGTGTTGGCTTCATTCTGCCTTGCAGGTAAGTCTCCCTTACAAGGTGGATTTGGGAGGGTATGTGTGTGGTGTGTGATGGAAGGAGTGAAGAAGGGAAAATATGGAATAGAAAGTAGGCCACAGGCTTTTATCAATCTATATAGCCATTCTAGAGGAAGGGAAGTTCTAGAAGAAGGTAGCATCTGCATAGACGGTCCAGCGGAAGATGGGCTGAGCTCAGGTGATGCAGCTATCCTTAGGGCCAATCACCGTGCCAGAAGGAGAGGGTAGGATGATTGGCAGACGCCAGGAAATGTGATTCAAAGTGGGTCAGTCAAAGAAGACTTCGTGGAGGAGGTGGCCTTTAAGTTGAATGGTGAGAAGGTTTAAAAGAAGTTGAGTAGGGAAGGATTTCCCAACTGCTCCTTTTGCCCTGCTCCTGGGAGCCCAGCTTTGGCTGGGGATAATAAGCAGAGCGCATTGTGGATCAGAGTGGTGGAATGGCGCCCCACCTCAGCCCCTGTTCACACTCCCATTCACGCGGGAGGCTCAGGCTCTTGCAACAATGCTTCCGAGCCTCCGCCAAGCGCTGGCTCTGCCAGGTGGTGGTGGTTATATGTGATCTGCATGACATCCAGGCAAATGGGATTAAAGTGGCTGCTGGTTTGTTAGTGAAAAGCACAGGCTTTTCATGTTAATTTACACAACCAGAGAGAGCCAAGAGAACAGACGCCTCCCTTCAGAAGGTCACTGACACAGAGAATTCGTGTGTTCGAGGGAGAAAACATTCAGTATGTTGACATTTGCTCTTTTGATTGCTTGCGAGTGACACGTCAATAAATCTTATTAGTATCAGTTGCTCGCGGCTGCGTGGTGCTGGGGAGAGGTTGGGGGAGCTGGATCAGTCGCGATACGTTGGGTCGCTTGGAAACGCGTGTTAGCAGGGGATCGAAAACAAGCGGGAGTCAGTTCTTTTTTGGCATATAGTTTGAGCAGAAGAGAAAAAGGAGAGGGCGAGGAGAGATTAAAATTAAAAGCAGGTTTTTTTAAAAGCTCCGTTGGCAAAATACATGTGTTCCAGGAAATAGAAAATGCTTTACTATGGAGGTGGGTTAGAGAAGAGAAGGACGGGTAGATATTTGGGATTACATACAAGCCACTTCACTTCCAAGTGACAACATGCTATGGTTTGTCAAATATAAGATTGACTTAAGGAACACTGACAAATGAGCAAGTTTGAAAAATAGGATTTATCCTAAGTCAGATCATATTCATTTATTTTGAAGTTTAAGGATTTTGTTTGTTTTAAAAATAAAAGTCACTTTCCGTTATACTAACTATTTGGCAATTCTCCAATCTATTTTAAACACTAGTTCAAATTTTTGCTTGTCATCATTAAGGAGTAAATGTCGTTAAACTGTGTCAACCAAAGATTTTTAAATTCATAGGAAAACTTTTTATTTTCAATGTAGAGATCTCATACTGTAAAATAAAACTTTGTAAGTACATTCCCAGTAAAAGTGGGTCAGCATCAACTGTGTGACCTTTGGCAAGTTGCTTACAGGTGTCCTCACCAGTAGAAATGAGAGTTCAGCACCCCGTAAAGTTCAAGAGAGCTTCCAGCTTTACAGTGCTGTGACCCGATGCCCTAGTGCCCTAGAGGGCAGAAGTTCTCCTTCAGTTTCACAGTGGACCTGTTAGACAATATCAAAAGGCTCATGTGCTGATGCTGGTGTGTTCCCTGCCTGGTGCCAGGCTGGGTCCTCCTTAGGTTTGCACACTTACCCCAAGAACCTCCTGTGATCACTGTGTTTCTAACTTCAGGTTTCTAAAGTACAAAGTGAACCATGCCCTTCTCCTACATAAAATCCTTTAGTGGCTCCCACCCGAAAGCTTGCTGGTGTGGTAAAACCCTGGCATGGGATGCAGATGCCACTCACTCTGCTAGATGGCTCCGTTTCCACCAGACTCCCACCCCGTGGAATCAGGCGCATCCTAGGCTTCAAGATGTGCCGTTTTCTCAGCGCGGTTGCCTTGCCTTCTCGCCTCTGCCCTGCGGCCTCCTGCTGTCCATCAGCTGCAGCTCAGTGTGACCTTCTTTGTGACGCCTGCTTAGCACGCTGAGGAGAGTGGGGCTTCCTTCTGCTGGTGTCCATGACATCTTCTGGGATTATTTCTATTACAGCCCCATCTGTCCAGTTAATCATGAAATATTCAAGGGCAGGGGCTGTGCCTTCCCCCCTGGGTACCCCAGTATCTTCTAGCTTAATTCTTGGTATTTGGCTCATCCCCAGTACTTGTAAAATGACCAAGTTAGCAAAGCAATAAATTGATACTTACAAAATGATTTTTTTTTAATGTCACAGCTTCTTTTTTTAAAGATTTTTATTTTTCCTTTTTCTCCCCAAAGCTCCCCAGTACATAGTTGTGGGTCCTTATAGTTGTGGCATGTGGGACGCCACCTCAGTGTGGGCTGATGAGCGGTGCCATGTCCTTGCCCAGGATCCAAACTGGCAAAATCCTGGGCCACTGCAGCAGAGCGCGCAAACTTAACCACTCGGCCCCGGGGCTGGCCCCACAAAATGATTTTAAAGAGTAATCATAATTTTTGATTATTTTTTATTTTAAAATAGTTACTTTAATTTAAAAATTCTAAAACCTAATATTGTCAAAGGAAATTGTCAGTACACTGCTGGAGCAACCTGTCCAGAGGGCCATTTGACAATATGTGTTAAACGCCTTAGGGACATAATCTTAGACTGAAAAATTCTACTCCTAGTAATTTACCATAAGAAAATAATGAGTATATGTGTAAATATTTAGTTATATAAGTGTTTATTGATAAAGTATTATTTATAATGAAAAAATTGGGGGCTGGCCCAGTGGCACAGTGGTTAAGTGTACATGTTCCGCTTCGGCGGCCAGGGGTTCACTGGTTCGGATCCTGGGTGTGGACATGGCACTGCTTGGCAAAAGCCATGCTGTGGCAGGCGTCTCACATATAAAGTAGAGGAAGATGGGCATGGATGTTAGCTCAGGGCCAGTCTTGCTCAGTAAAAAGAGGAGGATTGGCAGATGTTAGCTCAGGGCTAATCTTCCTCAAAAAAAAAATTGGAAACAACTGAAATGTCCAAAGATAGAGGATTGGTTAAGTAGATTATGGTGTAGCTTTACAATGGAAGACGGTAGAGCCACTGAGAATCATGCTTACAGATAAAACATACATTGACATAGAAGAATGTCCATGAGCAGTTGCAAAATGAAAAAAAAATTATGCTATAATAAAAAGACATTTCATTTTCATAGAATTTGTATATAGACAGAAAAAAGAAAAGTAATTAATATACACATTTTAGTAGTGATTATCTCTGAGTTGTGATCATTATGGATCTTTTTCATTTTATTAGTGTTTTTTATTTTCTCCATGTTCCATTTGTTACTGTGGTAATGTTCTAATTATTAAAAATAATTCTTGCCAGATCAGACTCAAAGACATCTCTACTTTGAATCTGAAACGGGCACCAGTTCGTCTCCTTTTTAACATGTTTGTAACTTTTTGTACTCCTTTGAAAACCTTTTGGAGAAGATTTAGATTTGTGCTACTACTAATAAGCAAGTTTTTGCCACAAGACTCGTCTCCTGTCGGGTGACCTGGGTACATCTTTATCAGGATCCCCCAGGGCTGTGCTCCTGTTGTTTGTATTTACCTTCAGACAAACACATCACCATTCCTTGTCTTCTGTTGGACTTAATATGCTTTGTACTTACTATTTATAAACTATTGGTCCCTCCTATGTCAAAGTTTTGTAAGTGACTAGTTTAGGTGTTCTCTCCTCCTTTTTCTGCCCATCTATAAGTGCAGCCCGACACAATACATCATTGATTTTTTTCTTTATGACACTTCCTCCTCTGACTCTCATGTAGTTTGTTGAAAGAACATCTGGTGGGTAAAGGGGATTACTACAGGTTTTCAGTTTCTGACAATGGAACTCCTGACAATGGAATTCCAGAACTCTCTCTTTTTTTTTAAAGATTGGCACCTGAGCGAACAACTGTTGACAATCTTTTTTCTTTCCTGCCTTTTCTCCCCAAATCCCCCCAGTACATCGTTGTATTTTTTTTTTTAGTTGTGGGTCCTTCTAGTTGTGGCATGTGGGACGCCGCCTCAGCGTGGCCTGACGAGCAGTGCCATGTCCCCACCCAGGATCCGAACTGGCCAAACCCTGGGCAGCCGAAGCGGAGCTCGAAAACCTAACCACTCAGCCATGGGGCTGGCCCCAGA